CCTATAATTGTGTTTTTTATATTAACATGCCTTTGTCATATTCTGTTATTCAAAGTAGTACAGCCACAAACCATTGGCTCAGAATGCATTTTGTCTAGTCTTTACCATTTTAGGTCTTTGTATTTTTTTCTTATAGGCTGTAGTATCCATTACGAATTCTAAATACGAAACTTAAAAAAATCATCAAAATACCGAATATCGAGGGTAGGAGATAGGAGATATCGTGGATCTATATAGACAGTTCTATTTTTTGGGGTAGAGTACAAACAAAGACATAGAAGTATAAAGATAGGACAAGACAGAGTCAAGATATGGCAACCCTGTGAAAATACCTCTGTTGTTATGATATCGTAACAACATAGTTAGCAATATTAAGCGATTTAAACCGCTTAGGCAATATGCGATTAACTGGGAAAGTCTATGGAACAGAATTTTGAAACCTAATTTTTGGATTTTTCAAACTTTTGTTTGTCATTTTTTTCTATAAATGTGGTTTTTGATATTAACATGGTCCTGTCCTGAGCTGTTATCTAGATAGTACAGACACAAACCATTTGCTCAAAATGCATTTTGTCTAGTCTTTACCATTTTATGTCTTTGGTACAAAAGGAACTCCTTGTGTGGATTTTCAGACAATTCTAATAAAAAATTTGGCTACAATACCGTACATGGGCAGATACCGTTATATGGGGGATATACAGTATCGTGGACCTATATAGACAAATCTCTTCCAGGGGAGTAAAGTAAAGAACTCCAAAAGAGTTCCTTGTGTAGAAGTTCTGATAATTCCATTGAAAAATGTCGCTAAAGTCATCAAAAGACCGAATATCAGGGGTTACCGTTTTCTGTGGGCTATACGATATCGGTGACCGATGTAGCCCATCTTCAAACTTGCCTGCAGACGAAAGTCTGATCTGTGAAAAATGTTAGCTTCCTATATTAATTCGTTCTGACTCTAGCGTGATTACAACAGATCTTAGAATGTTACGTTGATCAAGAATATATGTACTTTGTTAGGTCTAAAATAATTATTTCGATGAGTTACAAAAGAAATGACGAACTTAATATACCCATATTATACTATGCATGGTGGAGGGTATAATAAAACAGAATCCAAATACAATGGTGGGACATAAAATTATGTTGAACATGCTTCGTTGTGCATAAAAATGCTGACGACAGCGAGTGACTCTTTTTTGAGCCACACATTTATGACCAGATTTAATAGGTGTTAAGCGGTATTTGTAGGGCCATATGTTTGGTGGATCTTCTCGAGTTCACTGTTTTGAATTACAGTTTTTTTTTTTTTTTTTTTTTTTTTTTTTTGAGAGTTGACATCTTCATGGCGCATCCATGAAGAGTTTTTGTTCGTTGTGTTTGTTAAAGTCAAAAATAAAAATATTTTGTATCGAATTTCTCCTTAGAATAGAAACCCCTATTCCATTATAAATCATGAAAGTTTTGCTTTTAATTTTTGCAAAAAAGAAAAGATAAAACTCGAAAATATTTCCTAATGCTTTTAATGGATTTTTTGACGCATACATTTACCATAAAACTTTATTTTTCCAAATAGTTTAAACAAAAAAAATCAAAGTATTTGCTCTTTTTATTGGTTATTATTTATTGGCATTGTCATTTCATTTAATTCGCTTCCACCACTTGCACATTTGAACCCCAATTTTTACTACATATTTTTTTTTTAATTTAATTTCAGGATCAATATTTGTTCAAAAATATTTTACACATGATATTGAAGTGATATGTAAAGTGATTTTTTTACGTATTTATTATTATGTTATAGCATCCTTATGGCTTATTTTACCATATTATACTGTGCACCACAAAATATAATTACAAGATAAATCAGTAGTAGGTTCCGGCTTTCTAAAAGTTTACATCGCAAAGTAACCTAAAAAGAGGAGGTACGATCCTCCCTCTTCCATATTATTTTAAAATTTCCGGTATTCCGGAGTGGTACTAACTTACTGACTGGGAATCAACGCCAAGACGAAACGGTTAAAGCTAGAATTTTTAAGTTTGTCTTTTGGTGTTAACAATTAGAGATAAAAACCTGAAATCAAGGTTGGAAAATATATTTGATATGTGAAGGTGGTTTTGGAAATGTATATAAAGTGTGCCAAATGGTACTAAATTTAGTACAGTTTAGTTTAGGATGGACGGATGAAGCTGAAATGTTGTACTGAAGTGAGAAAGGACAGGTGCACGAAAATGCCTAAATAGTACTATATATAGTACAATTTAGTATTGGGTGAACAGATGGTGCTTCAAATCTGAAATTTTGTAAAGGGGTTGCTGTTCATGTGTAGCGTAGACATATCACAGTGGTTTAGGGAATGTGTACTATAAATGTTTGAAAAGTACTGAATGATACTATATGTGGTATTGGGTAAAGAGATATAGCTGGAATTCCGAAATTTGGTATTGAGGTCTTTGATGGAGTCTAGAATTAAGATATGATGGTTGTTTGAAAAATGTGTCGTATAAGTGTACGAAAAGTACTAAATAATACTATATCTGGTACAAGTGGGTAATGGGTGATTGGAAAGTGTTTGCAGTTTGAAAATTTTTGACGCTACATGTGTAGCCTGGACATACAGAGGTGGTTTTAGAATGTGTACTATAAGTGTACGAAAAGTACTGAATGATACTACATTTGGTATTGTTTAAAGGGATAGAGATAAAATTCTGAAATTTGATATTTGAGTCTTTAGTGGCTTAGAAGGCGAGAAAATAACACGACCGCTTCGTTTGGGTGTAGATTCAATTCTGATTTTTATTTAAAGATATTTTTCTTAAGTGCAAATAAAAACTAATCTATCTTAACCTAATCGCAGCCACACGATTATTCTTATTTATTATTAGTTTTAAAAGGAAATATTACATGACTGCCTATCCCTTCATTTAAGTGTCATCTGGTCATCCACATCTGTGTGTGTGGGTTATGACCTTTATTATCCTACACATTATCGTATGCGACATAACAAAAGATCACTGAATTCTACACATGTGATATTTTAGGACCGCTGGGAAACTGATAATTTTGAAATATTTATTTTTATACCCTCCACCTTGGAAAGGAAAGGAAACGGAAACTTTGTCATTCCGTTTGTAATATCCTTAAATATTCGTCGTAGACCCCTTAAAGTATATATATTCATAATCAGCATAAAATTCTAAGTCGATTTAACGATTTCCGTCTGTCTGTCTGTTGAAATCACGATACAGCCCACATTATTTGACGTAGATCGCCAAAATTTAGCAGAGCAATTGGTATTGTGTCTAGGATGGTTGGTATTGAAAATGAGATATATCGGTCCACGTTCTGGTATAGTCCCCATATAACAGTACCTCCCGATATTCGGTATTTTGATGATTTATGCCACATTTTTTCACGGATTTGTCTGAAAATTGGTATTAGTAGGTCATAATGGGTCCCTGTACGTGTGGCAAAACATTGCATGTATAGGTCCACGTTTTGGTATAGCTCCCATATAAAGGTACCTCCCGATATTCGGTATTTTGATTATTTTTGCCACATTTTTTCACGGATTTGTCTAAAAATTGGTATTTATTGGTCATAATGGGTTCCAGCTCCGGTAGCGAAACATTGCATGTATGGGTCCACGATTTGGTATAGCCCCCATATAACGGTACCTCCCGATATTCGGTATTTTGATGGTTTTTGCCACAGTTTTTTCACCGATTTGTTTAAAAATTGGTATTTGTGGGTCATAATGGGTCCTAGTTCGTGTGGCGAAATTTTGTATATATAGGTCCACGTTTTGGTATAGTCCCCATATAACGGTACCTCCCGATATTCGGTATTTTGATTATTTTTGCCACACTTTTTCACGTATCTGTCTGAAAATTGGCATTTGTAGGTCATAATGGGTTCTAGCTCCGTTGGCGAAACATTGCATGCGTAGGTCCACGATTTGGTATAGCCACCATATTACGATACCTCCCGATATTCGGCATTTTATTGGTTTTTGCTACATTTCTTCTAATGTTTCCTTTACCCTAAGGTGGAGGGTATTAAAAGTTTGGCCCGGCCGAACTTAATGTTTTTTTTTACTTGTTAATTGTTAGATTTTCCAGCGCTTTAACCGCACTCAAAAGTATGTACAAAATATTTTGTATAATTGAATTACGAAATAGTACTAAATTGGGTGAATCCTTAAATGTCACTGCTGGGGTCTGTAGTTAAGATATGGAGGTAGTTTTGGAAATGATAGTATACAATGAACTGTTCGAAAAGTAATAAATATTACCAAATTTGGTGTTATGTGAATGGATAGTGCTGAAATTCTTAAATTCTTCTAGGGTTAACATATGGACCGTTGATATAGCTTTGTACAGGAAAATTGGATATGGATCCATTGTGCAATGATGTTAAATACTCCTCGGTAAATTTCAAAGTTAATGATTTCGAAGACTTTTTAATTGTAGAAGGTTAACATTTTCCTTTTATTCTTTCCAAAAAGGGAAAACCTTGAGTTATATAAAAAACATCTGATAATTTAGTACGATGTATGAAATTTTGATACAAAAAAACGTCAAACTGAACAAATTGAACATTCTGAGTACTAAAAAGCCTAACACAGCATCTAATTTTTTTAGATGGAATATTCGCTAGCGAAATTTACCCTCTTATTAAGACTACTTTGCAATATTAATATCCAATTTATATTCTTCCATTCTTAGCTCTACATTCATAATTTATCCATGGATTTTTCCTGTAACTATTTTTTGTGTTGCCCAATGTAATCTACAGTAATATAATTATTTAAAAAATTTAATTTATTTGTTTCACAGTGATATAGTATACATTTATGGTATGAGTTACTTAAAATAATATTAAAAAATGCCAAAAAAATCGAAAAAATCACTCTACATAAGCCCCTAACATGGTGTGTAAACTAGCCTTTACTTTTATATTTTAATAATTTTAATTATTTGTTATTTTCTTTCCCAAACAGATTTCTGCATGATTTGTTGTTGATCCACATATTTTGTAATTATTAATTTCTTCAAAGTTTTTAATAAAATATTTTTATGAATATAAAATGAACATTTTACTTATATTAACACCTACTTCCTTCTCCTTTTTACAGGTACGTATACAATAGTTTACATTTTACACAAAAATGTGTAGGATTTTTGGAAATAGTTATCCTTGTGTCACCAAGGATACTCAACAATGTGATAAGTATTTTAATATTGTTATTTAAATATTTTCCATGATTCCACAAATTATGGAATTAATTTTTGGTGTACATTTTCAGAATTTGATATTTATTTGATATTTTAAATTTTAAAATTGGCCCTGAAGGCAAATGATTTAACTGGAAATATTATCGACTAGTTTTTAAAATTCGACGAAAAGGAAAGTTATAGGGGAGAGACAATGAGGTTGTAATGAAATCCCTCTAAATAAAGGATAATTTTACAACTTTAAGAAGCAGACAAACCGTTGGCTTTTCCTACGAATGTCTAGCCTCAGTCATTAAGGTTGAATTACATTTTCTCTTTGGGTCATAGGTAACTCATTTTATAAATATAGCTTTTTATACCCTACACCACAAGGTGGTCAGGGTATTATGTCTTTGTGCACTTGTTTGTAACAGGCAAAAGGAAACGAGATAGACCCTTAGTTCCTTCTGATGATCTGCATAGAATCACTTTCTAAATTGATTTATGCATGTCAGTCCGTCTGTCCGTCCGTCCGTCTGTCCATGTATTCTTGTGAACAAAATGCAGGTCGCATTTATTATCCGATTGAGATGAAATTTTGCAAACAACATTTGTTTGGCCCAAGGAGATAATCGAAATTAGAGATAATCGGTAAAAATTTAGATATAGCTCCCATATATATCTTCGTCCGATTTGCCTTTTATTGTGCACCAAACGTGTAATATCAGCCCGAATAGTATGGAATTTTGCACATACAACCAAATTAGGCCTGAAAATAAGTATGCCAAATTTGATCGAAATCGGTTCAGATATAGCTATAGCTCCCATATATATTGTTCATCCGATTTGTTATTTTTGTCCTCCGCAGCCGTAATATACACTCTGTAACAACAATATTTGGGGAAATATATCAAATGCAGCTCAGAAATACCTTTGCTAAATTTTATCGAGATCGGTTCTGATTTGGATATAGCTCCCATATATAACTTCGTCCGATTTACCTTTTATTGTGTACCAAACGTCTAATATTTGCCCAAATGGGATGGAATTTGGCACATAAGACCGAATTTAGCCTAGAAGGTAGTATGCCAAATTTGGTGATGTTCGGTTCAGATATAGCTATAGCTCCCATATATATTGTACATCCGATTTTTTGTATTTGTTACCTACAGCCGTAATATGCACTCCGTAACAATGATATTCAGGGAAATATATCAAATACAGCTCAGAAATATCTTTGCCAAATATTATCGAGATCGGTTCAGATTTGGGTATATTTCCCATATATATCTTTATCTGATTTCAGATTAATTTTGCACCAAATGGGCAATATAAGTCCGAATTTAAAATATACAAATGCTTCGGCATATTTAGTCCTTTGAATTTTAAATTATAATTATAATCATAGCGTGTATGATTGAATTCTCCCATAAAAAAACTTTTAATTATAAAGTGGAGCTCAACTAAATTAGCAAAGTGGTGTAGGGTATCATAAAATCGGCCCCGCCCGAGCGTTCGAAATAATTTTTATACTTAAACGAAACGTGAAACTGTATAGTATGTGAGAAGCGTCTAAAAGTATGCTACATAAAATTGCTTACGAAAAGTCACTTTACACATGAATTAACCATGTTGTGTAGTCTAACCTTTATATATTATTTTTGAGGGGAAGACGCCAGAAGCTGACAGCCGATATCTAGGTTTAGTAAAAAAATTAAAAGAACTCTACACTGTGGTCCTAAAAATTTTATAAAGTATCCCAGAAATCTTTCAAAAAAGCTCAGGTCTGGTTTAAGAGTATTCAAATAACTGACTGACTGACTTACTGATCTATAATCAACGGCCAGACGAAACGGCTGATGCTGAAATCTTGTATTATTGCACGAGGGCCAGTCTTGGTGCGTAGGAGTATGATAACCCTGTGTTTTTTGAAAAAGGGTACAAAAAGTACTAAAAATTTGTACTAGACATTGAAATGTCTGGAATGAGCATCACTGAAGTGCAGGATACACGTACCAAAGGGTTTTGGGAAATTCGAACTTAATTTTACTTAAAGTTCTAATATGGTACAATTTTTTTAAAATAGTACCATTTTTAAATGGACGGATGGATTCAACAATTTTGTTTGAGAATCCAGGTTGGAAAGTAAGTTTGCTATATAAACAGTTGGTTTTGGATATGTGTACTAAGTGTGCGAACTGTACGAACTGTACGAAATGGTACTGAATTTGGACCGTTTGGCTCAGGGTGAACGGATGAAGCTCGAATTTTTAAATTTTGTGTTGGAATCCCTGTTGGTGGCTAGTTTCTGGAAAAAAAGGTGGTTTTAAAAAGGTGTACTACGTGTCCCCAAAATGTACTAAATAGTACTATATTTAGTACTATATTTGGTGTTTGGGTAAACATATGGCTTTTGAAATCTGGAATTTGGTATTAGGGTCGCTGTTCATGTACAGGGTGAGCTGAAAAAAACTGCAACAAAGTCAAACGCCATAATCTTTACATTTTTTTTTAATTCTATTAAAGGAAAGAAACAATGTCGGAAATTTTAGAATAACTTTAGATTTGTTCGAATTGGTCACTTTTGGCACCAATTATGGCCTTCAAACGGCCATTGAAACCGTCACACGCTGCCCGAATGTTGCTCTGCGGTATTTTGACCCATTCCCGGCGAAGTGCTTGCTTGAGGTATTTTTTAGTACCAACCTTGCTTTCCAAAATACTCCAGACATAATAGTCCAAAGGATTGGTGTACGGAGATTTTGGTGGCCATTTGCGCTGGAAATGAGCGAGGAACCTCATTTTGTAACCATTTTTGGGTGGAGCGCTGTGTCCTGTTGGAGTGTCCAACGTCTGCGGACAAAATGTTTGCGTTCCCAAGACTTTCATACACCCTACAGAAAATTTTCGAAATTTATTCTGATTAATACGATATTTTGACCCATTCCCGGCGAAGTGCTTACTTGAGCTGATCGACACTTTGGTATTTTTATTTTTTACTGCCAACATTGCTTCCCAAAATACTCCAGACACAATAGTCCAACGTTTTGTTATCCGGAGATTTTGGTGGTCATTGTGCGCTGGAAATGAAGCGAGGGACCTCATTTTGTATCCATTCTTGGGTCGTGTTGAGTCCTGTTGGAATGTCCAAGGTCTGCGGCCAAAATGTTCGCGTGTCCAGGTCTTTAATACACCCTCCAGAATATTTTCGCGATAATTTTCGGCATTTATCCAGATGCCACGGTCGATTAATACGAGCGGAGAGTGAACATCGGCTGTTATAGCGGACCACATCATCACCATGGCCGGCGCTTGAGTTCTGGTGACCAATCGAAGGTGCACATTTTCAGCTGACCTCTCTAGCAAGTAAACACGATCATTTTGTTGGTTTACAAATTGCTGGACAACGAATGTTTTCTCATCGGAGAAAACCAAATTCGGCAGTTCACCGCTTTCGGCCAAGTGAAGCAACTCTTTAGCTCTTTTGAGTCTATTTTCTTTCTGTTGCGGTGTAAGTTCTTGCACTTTCTCGGAATTTCAATGGCTTTACCCCGAGCCCATTTTTCAATATTTGCCGAATGGAATACTGCTCACTATGTTCAGCTCACGAGCCATTTTTCGGCCTCTGCGACGCGGGTTTCGATCAAGTCGCTTCTTTACTTTTCGAACCATTTCTACTGATGCTGCTGTTTCCTTCCGTCGTGCTACGCTACCAGTATCACGGTAACGAGCGATGGAACGAGACACAAAAGATTAATTCACATTTAAATGCTGAAGTGCTCTAACGATAGCCACTTGTGGTTTTCCAGCATAATACAAAGAAATCACGCTTGAATTCCATCACGAATATCTTTTTTCTGGAAAATTCTCACCAAAATGCTTTTGTACGCTTGTGAACAATATAATGTGCTGTCACTGGAATAATATCGGACGAGTGGCTTAGAAACGACAGCAGTCTGAAGTTGGTTGCAGTTTTTCCATCTCACCCTGCACTGACAATATACCAAAGAAAAGGTGAATTCAATATTTATAGAATATAAATTCCAAAGAAGTCTATAAAAATAATTTCTTTAAATATTTTCTAACTATTTCGTAAAAGAGCAAGAACCCAAGGAAGACAATTACAAAAACGAGCACATGACAGCCGTCTTATGTTGGAAATGATATCTCAAAATATTTCACACAATTGCCAAAAAAAGCAAACCCACGGTAGGGGGTGGGTGTCATTCATTTTTGGCTTCTGCAACAAATTACCCAACTTACAGCAGCCCCACCTCCCCCTCTATGGCAAATACTACGCAATTCAATTTTCAATTTTCCAAACACCCACCCCTTTACACCCTCCATTTAATCTTTGCTAAAGAAAAGAAAAAAAATTGCTGCTGATAAATTAAACGTTTTGACTTGCGTAACGTTTTTTCATAAATCTCTAAAAAAGGTAATGCGAAAGAAAATCAAAAATATTTGCCATGAATGGCATTTATCTGCCGGAGAAAAGTGCCAAAGATGTAAGAAAAGAAAACATGAAATATGAAATGGTTACATTAATTTAATGGCTTAGCTAATGTTCAAAAACAGACAGCCGGACCTGCCAGACAAATAAACAAAATTACACAGATAACCAGGACCCTAGTAAATTTCACAGTTTCCAATGAAAGTGCATAATTCAGAGGGAGATGGTGGGTGAGTGTTTGAACGAACTGTACCATCAATCTCCTTCTTCAGGTGATGGAATGAGAAATCTTAGAAAAATAAAATCATTGAAGCAGCAACGTAAATTGTCTAATCATGCGGCAAAATTGCAAGGATAACAAAACTGACAGCAGAAGACC